AAGGCTAGGCTCCACCATAGTAGAAATATCATCGGCATGATCAAATAGACTTAAGTCGGCAACATTGAAGGTCGCGTTCACGCCAAACTCTTCCGGAAGTGCAATGCGGCATTGTCGTTAATGCGCTCCAATACACGATATGGTCCAGCTCCATGAGGGGAAAGTTTCCCACGCCTCAGCCCCGGGAAACGTTCTTTACGATAGTGCACTCACACCCAATCGCCGGGTTCAAATATCACACGCTTACTTCCTCGATTAGCATATCGTGCATATGTCGCGGCCGCCTTGTCAATATTCTCCCGTACTTTGGCATGCAGCTCCTTAATTGATGTAGCACGATCCCTGCCACTAAAATTCAAATGCTCACTACTAGGTAGTGGTAGTAAATCCGTAGGAGTTAAGGGGTTAAAACCATAAACAGCTTCAAATGGAGACAAATGAATAGTAGAGCTAATATGTCTATTATAAGAAAATTCAACATGGCGAATGCATTCATCCCACGTCCGCCCACTATCATTTACCTAGCACGTAACAAATTACCTAACGTGCGATTCACAGCTTCCATTTGGCCATCCGTTTGGGGGTGACATGTGGTAGAGAAAAGTAAGCGCGTCCCAATTTCATGCCAAAGACTCTTCCAAAAATAGGATAAAAACTTCACATCCCGATCCGAAAGAATGGTTTTTGGAACCCCATGCAATCTCACAATCTCCCGGAAGAACAACTTCGCCACATGACTCGCATCCGTTGTCTTCGCATAAGGTATAAAGTGCGCCATTTTGGAAAACCTGTCAACCACTACAAAAATTTAATCTTTAGCACGTGGTGTCCGAGGTAAACCAAGAACAAAATCCATAGAAATGTCCAAACAAGGTCCCTCCGGAATGGGAAGAGGAGTATACGTACCATGTGGCTTCAAAGTACTCTTTGCCACTCTACAAGCAAGACACTTATCCAAAAAAGAATCTATGTGGCCAATAAAAATGAACACTAAGAACATCAAAAGTAGCATGTCTTCCAAAATGTCCAAGCATATAACTACCATGACTTTCCTCAATCAAAACATCCTTAATACTACATATGGAAATGCAAAACTTATCGCCACGAAACAAATAGTCATCATGCATATAATAATCATCAAAACCATGCTTTTCACATCTCCTAAATATATCACCAAAATTTACATCATGCTCATAAAACTCACGGATATGGGCAAATCCAACCAAATGTGCACGAGTATGATTAAGTAAAACATACCTCTGAGAGAGTGCATCAACAACTACGTTCTCCTTCCCTTGTTTATACTTAATAACATACGGAAATTGTTCAATAAAGCTTACCCATCAAGCATGACGCTTACTGAGTTGTTGCTGCCCACGCAAATGCTTAAGGGTCTCATGATCCGTGTGAATTACAAACTCCTTTGGCAACAAGTCTACAAAAGGAGGATACAAGTGAGCAAATGAATATAAATCTATCACAAGTATATCTTTTAGTAAAAGAATATAAAAGTAACTTCCCTCATCTTGGTTACTGTTTTGGCGAATTTCCTTGTTGAACTCTTTGAGACTAAACAATATTTTGCCATCGTCTCCCCCCGAAGATTTCGCTGAAACTGTAGCACCACATCACGCATAGATCTACGCAAGTATTCAACATCACGACGTACGGCCTCGGGTGGTAGGGAAGAAATGCTCAGCTTCTTACCATCCTTAGAAAAGGATATTTGATTTTTATACCCATTGTACAAGACACGCTGATCAAATTGCCAAGGACGTCCCAAGAGAAGATGACATGCGGTCATGGGACACACGTCACAAAACACATCATTACTGAATCCACCAATGGAAAACGTCACTCTTGCTTGCTTATCCACACGGACAGCTCATTCGTCACTCATCCAATGTAAACTATATGGCTTCGGATGAGGAGTAGTATTTAAACACAACTTCTCTACCATATAGGAACTAACAACATTAGTGCAGCTGCCCGAATCAACTATCATGGATATGGTACGCCCTGCTACCTTGCAATGACAATGGAACAAATTTTTTCGTTGTTCGTCTTCCCTACGGTTTGCATATTCACGTGGTAGAGATGTCAAGGTTCGCATCACCACTAAACTTAAATGATCCTCATCACAAACTTCCTCAACAACATCATCATTATCTTCAGCAACTACTACGTCATCACCATCTCCATCATCTACATAACCCCATTCGCCATTCTCTAAAATCATAACAGTCCGCTTATTGGGACATTGGCCTGCATAGTGCTCTTGCCCATGGCACTTGTAACACCTCACAATCTTCTATTTCCTATGGCCCATTCTTCTTTCCCTTGAACATTACAGCAGCATCATCCTTTTTGTCTACTATTTTCGCCTTGTTTTTATCCATATTTTTATCAAAAGGCTTTGTGGAAACTACTCCCTTAGAACCGGTGGAAGAGACGAATGAAGTTACAGAGCTGGTTGGAAACTTCATTTGATAGGAATGCCCGGTTGATGTTGGTCTCTTGAACTGCTCATCCCGTTTGATTGCCAAATCCACAGCTTCCTGAAAAGAATGAAAACGATGCAGCTCAACCGTATCGGCCATCTCACGCCTCAAATCCTTAATGAATCGAGCCTCTATCAAGGATTCACTCTCATCAATGTCCAACCTCATCATCAAAATTTCCAGCTCCTTAAAATACTCTTCTACCGACTTTGAATCTTGCACCAAGGATTGCAACTTAATATTCATATCCCGCTCATAACTATCCGGCACAAAGCGTCTCTTCATGATCTCCTTCAGTCGCGTCCAAGTATCAATTGGATTTCTTCGATGTCGCTCCCTATAACGTCTCTCCTTCTCCCACCAAGTCAAGGCATAATCTCTGAACTCATAGATTGCCATGCGAAATTTCTTGCCTTCCGAATAATTGTGACAGTCGAACGCCATATCCACTTGGTTACCCAATCAAGGAACTCCTCTGCCCCGCCTAATCCTCCGAAAGTGGACAGGGTAATCTTAATGGTGGAGAGATCGTCATCCAACCCATTGCGTCGATGATGAGTTCGATCATTTAACAAGTAATTCGAACTATTACTATGGTGTGAGACCGACCTCATCGAAGGGTTCAAATCTCAGTGATGTGAATATTCAGCCGTGGCTTGTTTTTCCCGAATAGCAGCAGCTACTCCAGAAGGGATCCCTGTTCGAGCATTCTCCAAAGATGACAGTCTATGATTGATATCATCCAACTTTTTATTCATGGTATACTCTACATGATCCCAAGTCGCTTTTTGTTGCATGGACAATGTTCTCCATATTAGCTTCCAACTGTTGCATATTAGACTCCAATAGTTCCTTTATTTGTTCAAAAGAAGCTATCCTGCACTCAAAAGACAAACTATATATGTATATTGAAATGTTAGTATCCTTACTCTCCCTCACAACACTCAGAAGGAAAAATAAGAAACAACCACGATCATGAAAGGGAAGAAACGAGTGCAATTACCTCAAAACAGAATGTAGGAATCCTTCAAATGCAATACTCAAGAGAATCATGAAATACATACGCATCAACTAGGGGAACAAAACTAGAAGATTCGACCCCAAACTATAAGCGCAGAATGTCAAATAAAGGTCGAAATAAAAAACCTAACGCACCAGGTGAATAAGAATCATCAACAACCTCTCAACACACTCAAGAGACACCCAGTGAAACAACTCCCACAACACGGACTAAGAACCCTCAAAATACAACATGATTACTACAAGAATATTAATCGATGCACTGTAATAGAATATTAAGGTGTGCTGCTCAATATATATATATTTTTTTTTTGTTTCTGTTTTCTTTTTTATATATATTTTATGCTCTAGGCTTTTACTTGATGTTTAGAGCATGCCTTTTTCAAAATTGAATTGCCATCTTGGCTCTTTCAATGCAATTTTGCCACACCTTTTAACAAAAGAGAGGACAGTGCATAACAGTCAACTTCAAACGCAATTTTAGAGGGCTATTCACGTCCAAATGTCATGATTCCAAAAATTAAAATAAAATTCAAGGAGTTATCTAACAGCACAATCAAGAATCACTCAGAAATTCCAGCCAATCAAGATCCGTTAATAAAACAAACCGACTGCTCAAAACAGAAAACATAAAGTTCAACCCCAAAACTTTGTACTGACCGATCTCTGTATTCCAGGAATTTTTTTGACGATTTTGAGATCGAAGTGCTGAAAAGAAGTGCTCATTGTATAGAAAATTCGATGCCAATTCAGAAACCTCCTTACAATCTAGAATCGGAGTTCGTATGCAAAAGTTAAGGCAAAACTACGATCTACCAACAAAACACACAAATTTCACTCGATTCACCTCCAAATCACTCAATTCCTTGATCAACTTGATGCGATTAGACTCTAAGTCAACTATATTGATTAATCAAGGCCTAAGAACACTTAGAAAACTACGAACAAGGCTTGCTAGTACCGGCCAAAAATTACTATTAATTGTGTTTTTGAGATCAAATTCAAGAACACTACTCACATTTGACAACTAGCAATGGATTGGAAATATCATTCATTTCCAACAATTATCAACTATTTCCAATAAAAAAAAATTCAACAAATCTTTCATCACGGACTGGAATTTATAGATTTCCAAACAAAATATGATATCAAAAACAGATTGGATAAAAAAAAAAAAACGGATTGGATCAAAAATGATTGGATAAAAAAGGCATTGAGACATATGATCGAACACATTGAGATCAACTCGAAGCAAGTATGATAACCGCTCTGATGCCAAATTTTTATGACATGGATAGGATCAAATCATGACATCTAATCCCAAATCAAGAGAAGAATCAACTACGAAATCGAATAAACGAACCGGCGGATAATTTGGAATCAATCGACGAATACTCCTCTCGAGCAAACACCTTCATGAATCCACACAAATTGTTTGAGTCTTGTGAATGCTTTTCACATCTCTCACATAAGCTGCATTCCGAAGGCTAAAAAATTAACCCTCTCGGTTGATTGGAATCACTCCAATAGATGGGTAGAATCTCTCCGAAAAGAAAGAAACTTCTTCAAAGTGGTAGTTACTTTTTCTTAAATGCATGGAATGAATGTTTTACAAGTAGAATATAAGGAATATATGCTAAGAAGACCTATCTAATCTGGGCCATACATTAATCTAAAAATCAATGGCTCACAACCTCTAAACAAAGTAATGTCTTTGATCGGGTACGGGTCGCGATAGGTCCGCCGATATTCGGGTTCGGGTCACCGGATACCATGTCATTGGGCCCACTACAAAAAAAGTTACAAATTACTACGGAAAAATTCCGTCACAACTGACAAAATTTCTGTCACAACTTTCAATAACAACGGAATTTGCGACCAAGTGGAAGGTGTAGTAAATATTATTGTAGTAACCCAATGTGACAATTAAAATTTTCCGTTGCAGAGAATTGCAATAGAATTAGTGACAGTCATTTCTATTACAATTTTTTGTTACGGAATTAGACTACAAAAATATATTGTTATTATAGTGCAATGTAATGGAAAAGATCTATGGCTAATTATGTTGCAAATTTTTGCAACTCATTTTAAAAAAGAATATATATGTTGCAAGATTCGTCGCAAATAGAATAGCAAATTGCGAGAGAATATAACTATTGCTAATTCCGTCGCAATTTTTACAATTTCTTTTGCTCATTTCTTGTCAAATTTTTTTTTTTCAATATCTATCTCAAAAATATTAATTCAATCCTCCATAATCAATAAATTTAATGATTCAATTAATATATCTTCTCAAAGATACAAGAACTAGTTGAAATCATATTAAATTTTCAAATTTAAACACTATCAATAGACCAAAAACACAATGTATTTAGTATGATAAGATAAGATAATAGCAACATCAACACTATACGATAAATTCTGAACTGCAAAACATACAAGTAATAATTAGAGATACCTGGAACTCGGCCTCTGGTCCTCAACTAATGTTGGAAGCTGAGAAAGGCATATTTCAGCTGCCATGTCCCATGCATCCCTGCAAATCACAAGGATATAAGACAGATAAATACCAATTAATGAAGAACACATGTCTTAGATTTACATTTGACAGAGAAGCACAAATATTTACCACATATGGTGCTAATGGGTTGGTGGTAACATTGGATGTGAAACTGGCGAACAATTTGCAGACCGCATTATCCTTTCAGCAAGCAAAAAATTTCAAAACAGGCTGGCAACCAAAAGATCTTGCCTGAACAATCTCTGGAATAAATCCGTAGCATTCAAAGTCTCCTTCAATTAGATTAAGAACAAAATATGATAGCTAAGATTAGAATAAAACATAGACCAAATGACATTAGGTCTTTGTTACCATGAGGAAGTACATTCCATGCAATAGTATCAGTCACAGCTGTGAATATCCAGTTCAACTCCCCAAGAAGGGTCTTCCTGTCTGTTTGGCGGCCAGGAATTCTATCAATCAGAGAATAATCAATTGATTCATGAAGAAGTGACCGAGAACAGAACCTGAAATAAAATGAACCATATAATTATTAGCAATAACTTTTAAGAGGGGAATGGAACAAGATGGCAAAACCGAAAAAATAAAAAACAAAGATAATTGCCAACCAAGTCAAGCATAACATTCATTCCCAACAAATACCTTTAGTTGCATTCACAAGATAGATGACAAAAAAGGAAGATATCATACATTCAAAAGAGATAAAATTCATGAAGCAGCACACAACCCATCACATGAGAAACCTCTGATAGTGAGAGCCTGTAATTGGGTTAAAACCATACAGGAAACAGAAAAGATACAAAACAAAAACAAATAAACTAGCTGAACAGGCAATTGGTCATCAAATCGCATGATAAAAAAATAGCTTATCAAGCGAAGACAATTACATATCAGAATAATTAACACGTTTAGATATTCAGGATTCAGACTCCTAATAAAGGCTTGTAGCCTAGTTCGTTTCAATGACCAATAACTATATATAAAATAAAATAGAAAAAATCCACGTAGGATTATATCAACAAGTGATTTCATTCTTTTTCAATCATTCAATTTAATATAGCTCTTAGAGAATATGTTGTGCAATTGTATCCTGTTCGAGCCACCTACAGGACATTCTGAGAGAGAGAGAAGAGATAGACTATTCTTCATTTCACCAACACAAACAACAGACACTAACCAACTGGTGATAGCTACATAGTAATGGAACATAAACCAAAAACATGATGTAAATGGCAATTCAAATTACGAATAAAATTGAGTTGTCAATCACCATCTTAGTGCCATTTTTATGGGTGTTGTAAGGAAGGAAGTAAATACATCAGCAGGAAACTCAGCACTTTGTGGTAGCGTCTCATGAGCTTCACGGGTTGCTAGCAAAATACAGTCCCTCATGGAAGATCCAGAACTTGAGGTACTATTTTCCTGGAGCTGTGTTGTTAAAATATAGAGAACAAAGAAAAAAAGGTTAAAACCAACTCACAAGCTCGAATGAAGCTTTCTTGGTAGGAAAACTGTACCTCAATGAAGGCATTCACAATAAATCCAGCAGCAGAGCAATCAAAAACATATATTGAGGGGGTCTTCAACCAGGAATCGAGATCAATGATTTGTAGCGGGATGTACTGTGTATAGCTCTACAGAAACAACTAAATTACAAAATGAAGTCATGGGTAATTCAGACAATATGGAGTTACTTTTTCCCTCATTGATCTGACACATTCAAAGAGAAACTAAAATTTGTTAATAAATAATGAGCAGTGGCAAGGACCTGCTCACACTATGAACACTCATAACATAAAATAAATTCATTGAAACTTACTTAGAAACACAACAAGTAAATAATAACATTAAAGATTAAAAAGCCGAGGGGTTTGTTTAATCTATGGCAACAAGAAAAAAGAGGGAACTAATACAACCAAACAATGTAACTGGTTTTTCACAACATAACTACCCGCCTAGCTAGCAAGCTGTCAAGAGGGAGTTGCAGCTGAAGGAATGAATGAGTATATGCTCCCCCACTGCAACCTCATCCTCCTTCTCATTATGATACATACATACATACAACATACATACCAGAAAGAATACTATCCGCCCAGGAACGTACCTACTAATGTTGTTCACCTGTTTTAGAAAATGACATTTCATTTATCAGATAACCATTCCATATTCATTCTGAAAAGTTTTAACAGTGATCCACCCAGGAAAGATTTAACAGAAGCAGTGTTTGATAGTCAGCAGTTGGAATTACATTCAACTTTGTACTCAAGAATCTCGTCACGTCACCACTCAAATTAAATACAGCCATTCCCCTGTCCCCCCTTAAGGCACCCCCGGTAAGTTGCCGGTTCAGACTCTCCTCCATAACGCAAGGGACATTACTACACTTTGGTTTCAACAAAAACTTAAAATCCAATATCTCTGTTTCGGAAAATGAATGAAGTAGACAGCAAACAAACGGATCAATCATTAGCTTACACATTTCAGAACCACAAATTTACAAATACAATCTTAGTAAATCACTCGAAAAAGTGGCACAATCATGGTATATGACCCATTTAGCACTCCTTTCAATCTATGTTGTTTCCAATAAACGATAAAGCGTTTTTAGTGGCACAAACATAATATTGTTTGAGAAGATGATAGCACTGAACCTTACCTTAAAATGGAGATGAAGTAAACTAAAACCAGAGATGTTTACCATGGTTAGAAGATACAACAAAGCTTAACTCCCACATAGATGTCGACTCACGTTCCATCGGAAGCTGAACAACAATGACAGAGATTAATCAACGAGCGGAATCATTAGTTTTCAAAAACAAAATTATTCATATACATACATACATACATACATACGCCATGGAATGTACCGCAATTGAATTAGGAAAAGTGAGAAGGAAAGAGAAAAAAACAGAAAAACTTGAATGGAATCGGCGAGAAGCAGTAGGAGAAGATGGAGCAGATAAGCGAACAAGCATACCGCCTTGGAAGCGTCCCACTAATGTTGTTCACCTTTTTTAGAAAATGACATTTCATTTATCAGATAACCATTCCATATTCAGAGACGTGTTAATGTAAAGTATGGAGTGCATTTAGAGAAGAATTTAGATCGGTAACATAAACCACATTTACAACTACGGCTAGTATTCGATACATCCAAATGCTAGGAATATAAATCAACATTTTCAGACCTGGTTATAGATCTAGTCGAAACTCAAAATATTCCAAAAAATAACCTTTTGTAACAATTAAGAAAATTTTATTGCTCTACTATGTAACAATGTATTGTGTAGATATTTGTTATGAAAGATATATGCACCGTGTTCTTTCCCTGCCCCGAAACAGCATATGATATGCTTGATCTATAATCATGACCAAATTAAGGTAACCATAAGTATGGTACAAATTTTTCGAGGACAATAGAGTTCGAGGTTTACCTTGAGGGTCGTAAGATTTGCTGAAATCTGACCAAAAGCCTAATTGTTTTCTTCCAAAAGATTTCTTGTTGCGCCGCTGAATGCTGAAACAGATACATGGAATCATTTCAACTAGAAAAACTACATAAGCAGAGCAGAGGGCTGAGATCCACAACCATAAGTAAAGAGGTGAGTTTGTTAATAATAGACTGTATCGAACACCAGAGAAGGATCGACGCTCACATTCTCTCCTCTGTCCCCAAACTCATCCAGATAGTACAGCAGCTGCCTTTTCGTGATGTATTTCACTTCGGCTTCCGTCAGCGGTCTGCCATTGCCCCGATTCGGAACTGCGTAACATCAGCCGAGCGCAGAACCAGCAAAAACAAAGCGAACACCAACAAAACGCTCATCGAGCACTGCCAAAAAACGCAGGTAAACGACTCCTCTGCTTCATTTCACAGCAGACATTTATCTCCAGCCCTATCCGCCTTCGCACCTGAAAAAAACACACAAAAAATATACTCCGACGCAGAATGCGACCGCCAAACAGCAGAGATCTGGGAACAAATTGCGGAGGCGTTGAAGGCGGTAGTAGTAGTAGCAGTAGGTGCGTTCAGATTTGGGTGGCTGTGGTGGTAATGGCGGTGGTGGTGCCTTTAGGGATTGTGTGAATGGCAATCGCAAATGGCGTAATGATGAGAGGGAAAAAAAATTTAAACATTAAAATTATTTAATAAATAAATAAAATTAATTATTAAAAATAAAAATTTTAAAAATTAAATTAAAAATTTAAAAAATAATAATTATTAAATTATTTATAAAATTAATTTTTTTTGTTTGAATTCTGTAATAAATTTAATTTTTTATTATTTATGTCGCAATTTTGCAACGGAATATTATATTCGTTGCATAATTTTTGGAAAATATGCAACAGATTTAATCTATGATTATTTCCATCGTAATTTTGCAACGAAATATTTTATTCGTTGCATAATTTTTGGGAAATTTGCAACAAATTTAATATGTTGCTATTTCCGTTGCAATTTTGCAACGGAATATTATATTCCTTGTGTAATTTCAAAAATATTTGTAACAAATCTATTCTACTGCAGTATTCCCTCACAACATATCGCAATTGAGACTATTTATTTGTTGCCTAGTAAGTTCCGTTGCAATTTTGCAATAGATTGTATTCCGTAGCAATATTCCATTGCAATTTTCAATTTTTTTTGTAGTGGCCTTGGGGCCGAGGGGCTCGTGGTCTACGTGGGCCAAACACAATAAATTAAATTAAATTTTACAATTTCGAATTTAATTTTGAATTTGAATGATAATTAACTAATTCATGTCAATTATTGAATAAATGGAGCTTGTTGTGAAGTTGTTAAACACGTGCATTACTGGCGTGTAACACCCTTCCTCCTCGCAATGGAAAATCATACCATCCATAAAATTCTACATTAATTTTATAAAAAACCGACCTTTTTTTTTTAAGCCAAAACAATCTCTCTTAAAAAAATTTCTCTCGTAGGGTTTCAAGAAACCAAAAAAAAAAAAAAAAAATTCTCTGCAATCAAATATCCTCCGGAAAATCTCTATATTTCTTAATTCGGTTCGCGAAATATGCAATTCCATTCAATTCGTTCTATCCTGGGAGGCGATCGGTGACAGTCGAATTCGCTTCAAGGTAATCGCGTCTACGCGATTCAATTTGTCTTAATATTCGATTTCGGTATTATTTGATCTATAATTTCTAACTTTGTCATATCTCGGATTCACCATATACATTTAACATTCTTTCCAACAGAATCAATGACTGATATCGATGAAGGTGAGCAAAATCACTTATCCATTATTCCAACCCTAATCAGTCGCTCAACAAACAATGAAGACATCAAAGAGATTGCAATTTCGGATGATCAGCGCACTCGCCAATATCAGACGCAGTGGAAATCGCTCAATCGCGTAAGTTATTGCTCAACAATTGATTTGAAATAGTGATCCCCTTCTATGATCTATTTGATTGAATTTACTATATTTTCTTATTGGATTGGAATTTCGTAAATATATATTAGCATTCGTAATTCCATTAAAACATTGAAATTATTTTTTAAAATAATAATGCAGTATACCGTTCAAGTGACATCAATATAAAGAAAACAACATCTCCTTGTTAATTATCAGCATGATATGTTATTGTATTAGACACGAAGATCAACATGTTGCTATTTATCTAAAAGCATTTTGCGATATGGTAGTCAACATTTTGACTTACATAATTTAGCATTCAATATGTGCAGAGTCCATAGATTGACATGCAATAAAATTTACAAAATCGGATTATGCATACAATTTTTATTGTGAGTATGCACTATAACAAACATCCCAATCCATAGTATACCATCTATTCCCATTAGATAAATGAAAGGACTAGATTGAATATACCAATAACTCAGTAATTGCATAATAGGAGCCACATGAATTAGACAGTGGTTTAATATGGAATAATCCTTTGAAAGGACTAGATTGAATATACCAATAACTCAATAATTGCATAATATGAGCCACATGAATTAGACATTGCTTTAATATGGAATAATCCTTTGAAAGGACTAGATTGAATATACCTCATAATTGACTCACCATAAGGGTGTTGTAAAGATTTGTTCAGGTATCCGACTTTCTTGAGAACACATGGTAGTTGAACAATAGGATCCTTCGAATCAGAAGCCTTCGGCATTGTTGATGGGTTTCGACGAGTTAGGTTTAATCGAACTAGGGCTTTGCGAGAAACAACAATTGAACTCAAAATAGAACTTATCCACAAACTACAACAATGGAAAATACATAACATAAAATAGATAACATGGAAGAAGATAACATTAATTCTAAACTGCACAATGGAAAATACAAAACTTACCGAAATCGCCTCAACGAATGCGCTCGTTGTCGTCGATTTGAAGGACAGTACAAAGAATTGAAGATGTTGAAGAAAACGAATTGGAGACGAAGCGGAGGGGAAAGGGCTTTGTTGAAGAAGACAATTTGAAGAGGGAAGGGAGACCAAGCGCAAGGGAAGGGTTTCTTGAATGAACGATTTGAAGATGAATGAGGGAAGATTAATGAACGAACCTTCCTATACCCCAGTAAATTTTAGAATGAAAATTACTATATTATCCCTGCGCAATCTAAATCGTTCATTATAATCTAATTATAATGAACGGCTCGTATTGTATCAGTATGATGTTCACCTCCCACTATGATAATTTTGACTATTTAAAAATATTTTAATTATATTATATCCATTTTTTTTTTCAAAAGTTATTTTTATAAAAATTTGTGCAAAACATAGAATCAAATTGTTTTACATACAAAATAAATACAATAAATCATATAATAATAATAATAATAATAATAATAATAATAATAAGATATTAGTGAATCATGGGAAATGATTTTTTTTTAAAAATTATTATGCTTAATACATGTAGGAATTTTTGTTCACTTAGTATTTTTAGATAAAATGATTATCCATGAATATTATTTTAAAAAAATATAATATACCTACATATTAAAATAATATATAATATATATTTTAGATAAAGTTGTCCCTAACTCTCATGTGGTTTCGAAACTCGTAAATCCTCCCGGCATGCAAAATTTATAGATGAAAAATCTTCTTCTCATTATACAAAAGAAATGTAAAAATAGGTTTTATACAATATTTTTTAAATTATAATGGGGTGCAATATATTTTTTAAAGTATAAAGAGGATTTACGTTGAGTTTAGAACACTACAAGAAAAAATCATTTTTGTAACAAAACTTTTTTGTCTCTAAATCTACTTTTTTCGTTACTAATGACATTAGAGACGGAAATAGGAATGAAATTACGTTAGCTACGTGAACTTTAGGAACAGAATTCCGTTACAAATATATTAATTTTTTGTAGTGGAAACTATAAGGAGTTATTGACAATTTTGTCTCTATTTTATCTACTTACAAAAAGTCAACAATTTAACCCAATCTTTATTATATATGTAGATTATGTTGAATATGTACTTTTTCTTTTTTTGTTTTTTAGTCTGATTTTAGTTTGTTTAAATAAAATTATTTTATATAAAAATAACAAAGGCGTGTTCTTTTAGTAAAAATACTACCTCTACATAAAAATATTTATTATATAATTTATTATATTTCATATAAAAAAAAAATACCTCTTTATTTGATTTTGTAATCTGTCTTATGAATTTTGATATCCTCCTAATGTTGATTAAAATTCAGGAGCATCCTGAATGTTTTTAATCCGTTGGATCAATTCTACTGACAATCCAACTATTGAGTTTGATTGAGAGTATTTAGGTAATTCAAAAAATTAACTAATATATCTAATTGCAAAAAATCAATTAGAAAAATATTATCATAACTACCTCCGATAATTTCGGGATTTTTTAAACAAAACAAAAATGTTTGCAAATAATTACTTTTAAAATTGTATAAATTCAAATTATAAAGATGCATACAGTATCACAAAATGATATCTCTATAATACTATTATTACGATGTTTTCCATAAAATGCTTTTTTTTATATAATTTAATTAAACGATGTCTAAGTAAATGCATTATAATACATTCTATCAACTTGTCGATTATGATATGACAATTATTTAAATAAATTAAAAATCAAATATATCTATATATATAAATATTAACCCTTTAATCCTTACCACCCCGTCTTATTTACCAAGCCCTAAATTCACCGCGCAGATACCCCTTTCCCGTCGCGCTGCCTTCGTCTACAACAGAGTCTGCCACCGCTGCCGCTGCCACTGACCTCTTCAGCCACGTCCGCTGCCGCCACCGACCTCTCCAGCCCGCCGCTGTCAAATAACTGCCGCCGCCATCGTTCCTTATCTATCTACACATCCGCACTTGACGGAAGTCGGCGACGACGCGCAATTCCTCTTCTATTTAGAAGCTCATATTTGACGAATCTTCCAATGACGGATTCAACTAAGCGAGATCCCAAAGCTTTTATTAAATCCAAAACGAAGATAACGAAACACATTCAAGTACCATTTGTGCCAAGAAAGATAACATATTTCAACAACGAGAAGCTCTTTCGACCAAGTGGACAGATTTGGTGGTTGTATTTTCAATACTGCGTAATGTTTTTATGGTGATCATGTATATATGTAATTTCTTGATTAATCTCTTTTAGAAAAAAATATCAACACAGTTATTCCTAAAAATTGTTTTTTTGGACTTCAGATACATACGATGTATATTCATGGTACATATATTATTTAACTCATGATAAACTGATGATACTAAACCTTATTGTGCACACTTTTATATATATTATGAGCGGTTGTTATTAAGTTAATTTATTAGCACAGTGCTAACAACGTACAAAATATATTATGGCAACATCTGAGTTATAAATTAATAGCACAATATATATATTAATGTAATATAAATCAACATATTAAATAACAAGAAATGACATTAATCCACAAAACACATACTACAACCAATTTCACCGCATAATGTATATTAACGCAATGGACATATAATAAAATAGACAACCTATCCTAAAAAAATATACAAACATATGTTATATGTTCTATTTTCACGGGTTGATAAGCCTGATCAGCACTTTAACCATTCTCATATACT